ACTAATATCTCTAGTTGCTCACTTGATCACAGACTTCCTCTACATCATTAAGGAACTCAAGCCTTAGCATCTCTTCCATTAAACCAAAATATTTCCCTTCTTTTCCAACAAGAGCCTAATTTTTTTAACGTGAAGCATTTGGGCTCATTGTCTGCTTACTCTGAGGACACAGAATATAATGGTTTTTTAAGCAGGGTTCTCTTTGGGCAGCATCTGACACAATCTGGTCCTGACTTTGACAAGGCTCTGAAGATACTGCTGTAACGTAAAAACACTCTTGTGTTATTTTCTCACAATTCCTGACAGACTACAACACTTGCCCTGGACCCTACTCTGCTTGGGAGGGGAGGAGGGAAGTGCCATTCAGGCATGAGCTGCTTTTAGGGTCCTGACTGAAAAAACTTGGTCTGTTTCTTGAGAGTATAGAGTGGGTGCTCAGGAATACAGATGAGCTCAAAGACTATGTATAAGAAATGAGTTTGGAAGTTCAACATGCTTGATTTCCAGTCCTCTAAATTTAGTGCTCCAGGCAACACAGCTCCTGTCAATTTTCAGGTGACAAATTCTCTCTCGGAGACCTGGCTGTTCCTTCATTCACTTATTATACAGACAATACAATATGACCTCAGTTTGAGTAGAGCTGATCCTTATAATGTAAGAAAATCAAAAAGATCAAAGCTGCACGTGACTTGGCTGCATGAGGTTATTTTCGTGAAGCTCTGCTTCGAGGATTATTCAGATACCTCATTTCAAACAGCAACTGCTACTGACCCAGCAGACATACGCAACAAGCTTAATTTTCAAAAGCAAAACAAATTGCTTATTACACTTCAACATTGTTCCACATACTCTGGGTATTAAATTTATTTCTGACTCGATTAAAATAGATAAAAATTGTACATTAAAGCAGCTGAACACTGCAGCCACAGCTCCTTCCAAAATAAACATCAACTTCATGTTGCTTCAGGTCCTACCAATGCCGTACGAGGGAAGCACTTCAACAAAGAGGAATAAAGAAATGAGTCCAGGCTTAAAAGCAAGACATCAAAAAGGGGTTTAGCAGGAGACAGAAACAGCTACTTACATCTTATGATAATTAGGGTTATAACAATGTCCTTTTTCTCATACAAAAGAAGGGACTGGGACATTTCCATAGTGAGAATTCAGCACTACTTCCAAAAAACTGTTCAAAAAGCAATGGCACTCACTTCTGTATTTTTTTCTTTCTTTTTTTCTCCATGCTCCCTTCTATAATTTAAAGGGCACTTCCTCTCCACTTGGCTCACTTCCACCACCTCCATGGCAGCTTGCTCCGACTAGGATTTCGTATCGCCTGGGTATCTCACCGCCTCAGGCCTGTAGTATTTATCCTATTTATAGACCTAAATTTGCAATTTATTATGGCTGGGCACCTAACACAGGCTCTCACAGCCTTCAAGAGCCCTTTCTGCCTGTACAAGCACCCGCTCCGCTGCAGCACCAAGGCTGCTTTCAGCTGGGCAAGGATTCCCCTGCTTCTCCCCTGCATTTCCAGTGGCACTTGCTATACCCCAGCAAGCTCTCCTGGTGCTGCACGCACTCCCCAGCGAACAAAACAATCCCTATCTGGAAAACTTTAACGTCTAAAAGGCGATGCTTCCACCTTCCTGTGCATTTCAGGATATATTCTAAGGCCCTGACCCATCTGCCCCACCCTCCACAACACCACAAGAGCAGAGGGCAAGTCCAGGATTTGTCACATAAAAAGGGGTTTTAAAGCCAGGTCTCCAGAAATGTGGGCCCTTGGCAACTCCACTGCAATTCCTCTCTCTTTCAGAGCGTTTCTGCATTCCCCCCCCACTGTATCTGCACTATTTTTTGGCACCCTTCATTGCAGGTTTGCAGCAGGCTGGTTAACACAGGGACGGCGTTGATCATTCACCTCAGCGCCAGCTGTCAGGTACTTCAAAAGCTGCTGCACACCTGGAAATAGGCAACTGTGACTGATTCCCAGGCAAACATTGACTTTGGCACGCATAGTGTAGGAGGCATCACCGTGCTCACCTCTGTCACTGTAAGTAATTTGCATCCCTAAGCATTGACAAACATCACAAATTGCACACCTGGAGCTGTAACAGACTCCATAGAAGCCTGTACACCCCCCTCTTCCCTTTTGAGAACAGCTACATACTACCCCCGTAGCATTATCTGCAACCTTTAACATAAGGCATAGCACAAGAATGAAAAGAAAAACAGCATTCTAGGGGTTTTTTTTAGACAAAGGCAGTTAAGTTCTAACAAATACCTGCAACAGCAGCATGATTAGTGGCTCACCTAATGAGCACACATCTTACAAGGAGCAGTGGCTGAGGGAACTGGGGTTGTTTAGCCTCGAGAAAAGGAGGCTGAGGGGAGACCTTATCGTTGTCTACAACTACCTGAAAGGAGGTTGCAGCGAGGTGGGGATCGGTCTGTTCAACCAAGTAGGAAGTCATAGGACGAAAGGAAATCACCTCGAGTTGTTCTAAGAGAAGTTTAGTTTGGATATTAGGAAGAATTTCTTTAGTGAAAGGGGTACCAAGCATTGGAATGGGTTGCCCAGGGCAGTGGTGGAGTCCCCATCCCTGGAGATGTTTAAGGGTCATGCAGACACAGGGCTTAGGGTTTAGTCAAGGATCTGCCAGTTTTAGGTTAATGGTTGGACTTTGTCTTAAAGGTCTTTTCCAATGTAGGTGATTCTGCAATTCTGTGTACTGTAAACACTAGAAATCCTCCCTTCTTGTCCTCTCACAGTTGCCACCTCAGGAAGAGGTGACTGGAGAGAAGCTTTAACAGCTTTGTGACAACAGTACATGTGTAACATTGAGTTGTTTTTCCTGGAATGGCCAAACCAACCAGACTACACAGTTTGTCCTCTGTTCCTGCATAACCTCTCACAGCACAATTAACTTCAGCCCTCCAAGCGTAACCTGGAGAATAGAGAAGCTCTCCCAAGACAGAGGCAGAAAAGAGAGTGTCTTCCTCCCTCATATCCCAGCTGCAATGAAGAAAATCCTGAAATCTAACCCACATTAATTTCTTAGCTATGATACAACATGCTTCAAAAAGTCCTTAGTTAAAGCAACTATGCCTTTCTGACCTACACAATAAAAATATGAACTCCTCTGATTCAAACCACAAGAGAAAAAAGGTCGGCATAAATCAAAATAGCTGTAATGAAGATTACCAATAATTTCAGTTAATCACCGCACAGTTAAGAGAGGTGCAGAGAAACCTAAGTGCAGGAAAAGTCCCAAAGGGTGGCTGGCATGAGCATGTTTGAAAACATCACAAAGTACTGATGGTAACCATATGATAATTTACAAATTATATTGCTTCTAGCAAATGCTTTTGATCACATCACCAAGATTCTGGCTCCTAGCCCATCTCCCCAGAACCTCCTGAAGCAGCAGAAGTCTTGGACCACAATCACCTCACTCCTTCACTTATATTGACATTTCTTTTCAAGTCAGTCTGCCATATTAAATGATTTTTTAAAAAACCCAAACAACAAAAACTGGTGGGGTTTTGGGGTTATTTGTTTTCATTTGGGGTTTTTTTCAACTGTCTACCTACCCTGACTTTAGAAAGCACACAGATCCTTGGTAATTCAACCCAAGTTTGCTGCTAGATCATCTAGCCTGAGAGTTCCCGTGTGTCCAGGCCTGGGAAGTGTTAGCCAGCTGCTCACCACCAAGCCAAATGACTCATGTTTTACTAAAGTACAGCTTCTAAAAAGGTGTCTGAACTGACAACAATCAGTGAAAAACCCAACTGTACACAGGCATCTGTGCTAACGAATAGTCAACCACCTTGTTCAATTCCGATGCTGTATTTTCTACCTGCATTTGCCCCGTTTCAGCTTCCAGACATATGTTCCTTGATATTCATACCCCGATCACATTAAAGAGCCAGTTAATACACAAAACCTCTCAAAGGCACTGAAATATGGAAATCTGACAGTTTTTCTACCATCCGCATGTTTGATCATCAATCCCTTTATCATTATTTTCAGGTCTCTGAAGAAAATTCTGGACAGCACCAGACTCAGTCCACACCTTGAAGAAACCTCCTAAAAACCTCCTGCGTGCTCCCCATTGATGGCTGCTTGGGGTTTGTGCATTTTTTTTTGTCGTGTTTTTTTTCCCCTTTCTTGACATGTCTCAGATATGTAGCTTCATATTCTCTGAATAAACAGTGCTGGGGGTCTTTTTATAAGTAAGTTATTTGGTACCCAGCCAGGTATTTTATTTTGAAAACCTAAGAAAATGATATCTACCCACTAATTTTTAATCAAGTAAATTGTTCATTTCCTCAAAGAACACAACGACATTTGACAAGGAATATTTTCTGTAATTTTTAGCAAAGGTTAATATTTTTCTATTACTGGTTGCATGTACCAAAACATATCTACCAAAATAGAACTGCCAAATCAAACTCTCCCCAACAGGACAGCTGTACTTTCCATATTTTACAGACAGGTGCTGGTTTGAAACAGGCTCCTACCAACATCCCCTGTTCAGCTTAACTGGATCAGATGCTGTGCTATGTGCATTCAAGATCCTGCAACTCTGAGGCACCTTAAGCAAGTAGAACTAAGTATTTGATTAATATTTAAACATAGCAAAACTGCCAAATATCGCAGCAAATAAGTTTCTCAGGCAAGATCTCCCTGACAGGATACCAGTAACTCCCACTGAAAGGAGCCACTGATAGTTACTTGTATCCTGAGGGGGAGAATCAGAGCCCTGGAGATCTGCTTAGTTTTCTGCTTTCTGTGCACATAAAAGTAGAATACATAACAAGGTCACGACAGGCCAGAAACAGCAAACCTTCAAGCAGTTGCAATTCAAATAGATACCAGATCTGCTGGAAAGCAAGCAACTTGACCAGCATGCAGAATGTCTGAAGATCACTATTTCTGTGGCATTTTAAATTTTATGGCTATTTTTCAAAAGTCAAGAAAAACATTCGGTACATACTTTTCAGGGTTTTCCACTTCTTCAGTAACAAAATTGAGGTAAAACCTAGAAAGGAGTTAAAAATGTATTATAAGGGCTTGGTACATTTGTACGCTGTATTTCTTTCTAACAGAATCAAAAAGATGCTTTTAGTTAAGCACTGCTGCTAATCACAGTAGACTTCATAGACCCATGTTTGGATTAAGGCGAGTGTGAGATTTAACTTGCCCTCATCCTCAGGAAAGGAATTCTCAGAAAAGATAGAAAAGCAGAAAAAAAGACAAACACCACATAATATCAGTGTGGAGTTAAATTAGATATTTTTCCCTGGCATACTAGGCAAATTATAGTGTACCCTAATCCTATACACAAACACAGGGGCACTCTCAAGCCTCATATTCCTTTTGTGGCCATAGCCTTTTACAACTGCAGGTTATGCCACCAAAAATTCTCACTGGGGTATTCCACAATGATTTCTTAAGAATAAAAGTAAACGAAGCCTCAAAAGAAGTCCCTCCAAAACCCAAGATTCTGATGCTCGTGTGTCATAAACCATCGCAGACCCAGGCTGCTAATCCTGCATGATCTTGCCCAGCCTCCCTTACAGGTTGCAGACAGGTCGTATTCGTGCAGCGTGCGAGGGACAGCTGCGCAGGGGAATTCATAGGAACTACTCACCGGGCACGGCCCTGCATACAAAGCAACCGTAAGCCTCAAGGTCACTGAACCCTCTGTTCTGCATTTATTAGCACTGGGGCTGCGCATCGCCGAATCACACAGATGCGCTTGGCTCAGAGACGGGCACAAAGTCACATCCTGGCTAATTAAACAGAGCAGTCAATACCGTGCTTATGCCGGCTTTCTGCTTTTATACAGAAAGACAAATGGTATCTGACCCAATAGCACTACAGTGAATAAACAAATGGTACCTGATCCAGCAGAAAGTCTGGGAGCTTTTCTCCATCACAAGTCTTGGACCAGATCTGGGTTACCAGAACGAGTAAGTGCTGGCTTACAGTTTTAAAAAAAATGTGATTTGGTGACCGAGCGTCAAATTCTGTAAAACTAGATGTGCTACTTTAACAACAGCCTCAGTACTTCTTTCTAAACTTGTTAGTGCACGGGGCACGAAAGAAGAGGTTGGGATGGTTCAGAGAGATGGCTGCTGATGAGGAAGACATTCAGCTAATTCTTTTTGGTTGTATCTTCTCGACAGATTTTGACAGCCCTGCATCAGCCCTTGTATTGATGCAAAGACATGCTTCTTTGCCTTCTTTTCTCTGCTTGTCTTTTTTCACCCAGCATTTTATATACCCAATAGTCTACACTTGCTCTTTGCCAGACGAACCCACACGTATAAGAGATGCTACCTTTGTTTTGTTCTTTAAAGCTGTATCATTAAAAGTTAATAGCCTCGTAGGCTATGCATAAAATTCTGCCTGCATCCTGGGACACAACGCCAGCACTTGCAGCACTCCTCCACATTCAGCTCATTGGATTGATTTAGCTCCATGGAACTGATAGTGCAAGGGTATTGACACTCCACTTAATGGTCTGCTCTTCTGTGCTCTGAGGCAATCAATCTGAGCTGGTGACAAAGACAAATAGGCAGCTGGGAAGAACCACTACCCAAATTAGGTCCTTTCCTGCTAATTTCTTTTATAAGTGGCAAATGAGTACCTTGAAATCAAAGTCAGAGGGTGTAAGGGGAAAAACAGAGATTCTTTTTTATTGTAGAGGTTTGGAATGTTAGGTGGAAAATGGAAAGAAATGGAAAGGAAGCAACAGAATAACAGTATTTTTGATGTACTGCTTTACAGTAGATAAACTCTGCCTTGGTGATGAATAGTACTAAAGAGCATTTAAAATTGCCTTCATACCAAGGCATACAGTTAGGTTAATATTTTAAAAGTGAGTGCACGTATGGGTATGAGAGACAGAGGCGGTAATATGAGAGAGAGGGAAGAAGGCAGAGGCTGTGCACATAATTAGTTCAATTTCTTTGAGGCTTCAAAAACCCAGGTTCTTTTCTTATATATCTATCATAGATAAAGGTTTTGGACTCTCTTGGGCTCTCCCCCCAATCCCCCTCCTCCATTTATTATAAAAGTTCTGTTCAGTTCTTCAGTGTGTATGTTTATAATGCTCTTGCAACCCGGGAGTTACAGGCAGGCAGAGAACTCAAATGCTTGGACCATTGTCCCTCCGAATTAAATAAATAAACCCCTTATCTCTTAACTCTCGCCTTTTGTGCCACGTAAAGAACTCGCGGCCTGTGAAGCCATGGAAAGGGAAGGGAAGACCTCCAGATAAAGCTATCTTAAAATAAGCCCACTCTGTGCATTGTAGTCTTTTTTATTTTTTTTTTTTTTTGTCTCTCTCCCTACACACTGCTCCTGCCAAAGCACACCCGGCACAGTGAAATGCGGAGCCCTCGCTGACCATGAATAAATCGTAAGGCAGATTCCAAGAGCTGCGGCACCTTTCAAACCAGCTGCTACGTGTTTCAGTGGGGGGAGAGGGAAAGAACTTGCTTTCAAGTTCTGAGCAGGGTGCTTGAAGGCGGATTCTCATACCTTCACTCGCAGTCAATAGCACTTCACTTTTATGGAAGCCAGTTGCACTTCTTGTTAAGTGAGGTCCCATTCTCTCAGAGCAAGAGGCATAAAAATCTAGGGTCTTTAACTTGTATTGTGGTCTATACCGATGTTATCATGGTTCACTTTGTGCTCTTCAAATATTGCTTTTACAAAGCAAAGGCTGATGTTCACAGAACAAGCTTATAGATTTGTTTTTCATGCAATTACTGACTCGTTCAACAGAATTTAAAGCTTCATTATGCCTTTTCTCAAAATACCTAATGAAAATTTAAGAACATTCCTGTCTTCTTGCCTTTATTTCCAGTTTTGAGAACAGCAATAAAAGTCTGATTTTTTTTTTTTTAGTGCTCACTGCACTCCTACCCACTGCACGCTTTCCTACGTAGAGCTGCTTGCAGAGTAACTACCGAGCACATGGAATAGTGGCGAGATCTACCCTTACTACATGATGCAGTTTGGCAATTGATGTAAAACATGCTCCTCATTTCTGCACAGAAATCTATGCCCTTGTCAGATGATATGAGCCTTTGTTTACAGGACAAGTACAGGACAAATAGGTTTACACAACTTACCAGCCTGAATAGGCATACATTCCTGAATAGAAAGCAAGTGGTAATCCCAGAACACTGGCATCATTCCCTGCAAAGGCATTTTTGAAGTGCTGTGTTTCTCCTGCAACATCAACAAAAATAATATTAAAAAAATAAGTTATTTGGTCACCTAGTACTTTAAAACAAATAAACATATCACACCACAGAATATTTAATCGCCCAACAGTTCAGTGACTTCAAGTTCCGCCCTTGACCTTAATTTCTGACCCAACCTTTGCAAATGCACGCTGACAGCAATCGTAAAAGTTTTTGTGGCACCCTTAGCCATGTAATACCAAAATTTGACCTATTTAATTTTTTTTAGAGCATTCTAAACTTGATGACACTTACTACCTTGTCATCTTCAGCAGCGACTTATAGATCAACATGAAAGAGCAGAATGTGCTCTGTAGTTTTTTGGCTGTGAAATTTTTCCCTTGTTTTCACGAGCAGAAACACTGCTAGCACTTCACTCAGAAGCAATATTGTTCAGGTAAATAAACCCAATAACTTGAACATTTCTAACACTGAAAAATTTAGTAACTCCCTACCACATTATAGTCAGTACAGTATTAACACTACACTAAGGATCACATATCTATAAATGCAAACATTTCAGAGTCGTGCTACGCTCTTAGGCACTTAGAAGGTGCTCTGTGGTTTGTAAGCCCTCCTTACAATATCCCAAATTCCCCAAATTCCCTCCCTGAGAGGCAGTAAGCCTCCACAGAAAAGAAGCAGGAAGAAGCAGAATTCCTTCAGACTTGAATTAGCAACGGGTCAAATCCTCTACCCTTTACTCTGTTTTTTACTGAGCCCTCAGTCAAAATTCACACTGAAGCAAAGGCTTTCTGGGTCAGGAAAGAGTTGTGGCCAGAGGGAGGTCCCAATGGGGGATCAGGGACTCTGTCTGACCTACTTAAGGGCAGCAACCTCCATTCAAACCTGGATCTGGCCGGCTCCAAAGGGCCAGGAGAAATGGGGCGAATGGGAACCAAGAGAAATGCTGCACACGAAAGGATGTGAGGGAAAAGGCATTGCAACTGCCAGAAAGGAAGTGAAAAACATGAAAACAGAAATAGTGAATCAGCAGAGTGCTACACAGGAAAACTTTTATTTCCGAGTCTCTTGCTAACCACAGAGAGCCGCCTGTCCCTGGGAAACCAAGCTCTCCGCAGAGCCCAAAGCTGTGCTCTTGACTTGGACGGGAGGCTTTGTGAAACATCATAAAAGAGCATCCCCAGGGACAGAGCCAACAGCCGTGATAACTTTTGTTAAATCAAATCTGCCACCATTTCATTAAAAAGTGCTCCCCGTTCTGCCCCTCTGTGCTAAAAGGCTCCTGTGTTTCATGCAGCCATTGTCCAGCACTACTGTAACAAGGGTGAGCTGGGGCTTGTCAACATCTTACACCCAGCGCCGATAGGGCTGCAGCGGAAAAGCCTCATCAGGCAGCAGAGCACGTGTCCATGGCAAGAGTTTCTCTGCCAGCATGGCTTTACCCAAGCAACTGCCAGAGAGCCAAGGACAGGCTTGCACAGCTACATCTGCGCTGGGTAGAACAAAGGCACTTTTTCACACTCCTTGCTTATGCAGTATGATTTAGTTTTTCACTTGGAAGAAGTAAAGCGTGCATGCAGCACGAGCATCCAGTACTTGCAGGCAGCAAGCCCATGAAAGCAATTGCTAACTACAATTTCACTTGCCAGTACAATAACTTCATAACTTACATCACCAAAGTGGCAGAACAGCATCCATCATACTGTTTCTTTGATATATTCCTCAATCCTGACCTCACTCCGCTTACCCAGTACCAAACAGGACTAGACACTGGCCCAGCTAAAGGAGACTTATTCTCCCTGGGGTACACATGGACTTTGGGGAAGAGTTTGCCTTTCTGTCATTAAAACCCATCCTACTTCTTTCACAAAGTTCCTGCCACAGGCTAATTACAAAGAAGAGCAATCCTGTTCCTCATTTGAAAACCGAGTCTGATCTGAACAGACTCATTGGCATGCTGAAGGAAGTACCAGTTCATCCCAGTGTAGTTCCACTTCTAATCAATTACATGACAGTACAGGGCTTCAGTTAAGCAAGCACAGCCTAATTAAGAGATTTTGCTGCTATAAGCATTATTTGGTAGAGGCAGGTGGAGAAAGACTGGGGAGGGTAAAGATAAAAGCACTTTAAAAGCATTTACTTTTCATTTCATACCTTTAATTAGTTGGATAACTCCAGGGACTATAATTATCAGAATTGCTACAAGCTTGCAAAAGGTAAGGAAAATCTGAATGCGGGCGCTCCAGCTGACACTCATGCTATTCAGGACCATCACCAGTGCTGCAAGGGCAAAAAGAAAAATGTCAGAAAGAAATACTCATGTCACCAAAGTCGACACAAAACTCTTGGCCATCAGAGAGGCCACACACACAATAGATGTCGATGCATTAAAGAAAATACACCCCAGTAACCTTCTCCAGCAGCTGCCCTCCCTCTTCTCCCACTTCCCTTCCAGACGCCACACAAAATGCTTGAGCTGAGCCCCGCTGACCCGCTGTGCAGCCCATCCTTCTCTCCCTTCTCTGCCTGGTTCCCTCAGCACCAAATTACAGAATCGTTAGCTGTTGGTAGACGACAGACTTGCAGGACCCTGCCTTGGATGAAATAAAATAATTGCCCAACCATTGTCACTCCAGATCTCTGTATCAGTGCTAGTCTGAGTAGAGGTTTGTGTTTTCAGTTTTCTGAAACCATCATATTATCCTTTCTAAGCCCCATTTAGGCCTTGCATAAATTTGTCACTAGCTATCTTATTTACCCCTGCTCCTCTTCTCCACTCTTCTTCATCCTTATTGCTGTACCACCAGCGATGCAGGAGGGCCAGAGTGCCAGTGACATGCCTGTCCTTGTTGGGAATTGGCCAACAGAGACTTTTTGCTTCTCGAAAACAAAGCCCAAGTCTGAGCCTTGCCAACACATAGAGAAGTAAGTGGAAAGGGCTTTTATGTCCTGCCCTGCTTAGCTCACATCTTCTCCGTCAGGGAGGGCATCTTCTGACCTTTACTACAGCATTGACTGGCAGGAGGATGGGAGGTCTTATCATTTGAGTGCCAGTCATTCTAGTTTATTTAAACAATTACCCTGGCGTAACAAAATCAAGAAAGGAGTTTACATATTTTTGAGAAAAAAACACAACAAACTAAAACTAAAGAATAGAAAATCTGAGTCATTTCTGTAGATAAAAATTCCTTTTCCTCCCCTCTCCTGCAGGTAAAGGCAAATCCAGTCAAACAAGCCTGCTCAGCCATTCTCTCTTTCTTGTCACCGTATAGAGCTAATGAATTAGCTCCTCCTCCAGTCCTTCCATACTTCTAACTCTGTCAAGAGCATCGGTTTGTCTGTACCATCAGCCATATCACATATCTTGGGAGACATAAAAACACAAGTTTCTATCTCCTGCCAGAGTCTGTGAGCTAGTTTGTATGAGCTAGTGTTGTAAAACTGGCATGGCATGAGCTTGCTGGCAGCAAAACCCACTGATTTATCCCAAGTCTTTTATACAGATTCTGTTCACTGGCAGGGCCAAAAAATATATCACAAAAAAAATCTTCTCAGTTTAAACTAAAAGTAGGTTCAGTTTAATGGAAAAGGCTGAAAATTTCAAGTAATCTGGATTACAATGTATTTTCTAGATATTTCTAATAAAGATTCCAGAAAAAAAAATAAATATAAAAGTATTTTCTGGAATTTTTATTGGATAAAGAAAGCGCCCCAATCAAAAATTAACAATTTCCCAAAGTCAACATAAACAAACATAAATGTGAATTTTTCACCAAAAGGTCTTAAAGGTCAAACTGTTTTTCCAATTCTGTATTTCACCATATTTCAGAACTGAGGTATTCTTTTCTGAGTCACAAAGAAATCACTTGGACTTCTGCAAAGTACCACTTGAGATCCAAATACTTATTTTCTGCTTTATTACTTCCATGTATACCTTTATTTAGCAGGCAATAGAAAATCCCAGGGGCTTGATTCATTATGCTGTTGGCCCAATACTACCCCAAAATATCTTCACTCATTTACATGTTGGAAGATCCCCTTTGGGTTGCTGCTAAGTATTAGCATTGTTTGAGGCGCTCCCGCTTTCCCTAGGGTTTGATTACCAGGAAGATTAACAACTGTCATTTAAGAAAAATGTATTTAAAATATTCATTTGACCAATAATATTTAAGTTATAAAGAAAATTCAGTGCCATAAGCATGCATGGGCTTATTTGAAATTTCCCAGGAAGTTTAGAATATCATACTTTCCTCTCCCAGGAGATCAAGTCCAGGCAGGGACCGGGTCACAAGAAAATGTCAAGGAAGAGTTTTATGTGTAAGAAAGTATCTGCAGTTCGATGTCCAGCTTATTTCACAGTTCAAGCTGACTGCAGCGATCAGTCCATTACCTTACAGAGGTCAGAATAGGTAACGTGAGCATCCTCCCTGCAGAGAGCCCTCCTCAAGGGTTTCTAATGCGCAGGTTTCACCTTCCTCATACACAGATGAGAATGTCACTGGATCACAAACTAGTACCAACAATAACATCAACTCACAGAGAAACCTTCCTTGCTGGTCAGCCACACACAAATTACAAGCCCCAAATCCGTAAAAGAGCTACACTGGCTTGAATGAGGAAAAGAAAGAGAAAAAAAAAAAAAAAAAACAGAAACAAAAACCGCAGGCTTGTATTTTCATGAAGCCAGCCTGCTTGTGAGCTGTGTCAAAACCTTCTCCATCCCCAACTGTGAGTTCAAGCCATCCGAATGTTTCATCTGAGGCTTTCTAATCAAACAGCAAAAGCAAAACTGGAAGGACCTTCATAATCAGAAAGTCGAAGGTATGCTACCCGTGCAGTCAGCCCAGTGCACGTGCTGTTAGTTTTGATGGTCCTCCACAAAAGTCCCTTGTAGGACTTGACAACTGCACAAATATAGTAGTTCAGGTCATGTGGGCGAGACTTAAGATTTTAGAAGATTTGAGACCAACTGGGCATTTTTTTTAATTTCCTTTTATTGGACATAAACTGTAAGAATTCACACTCTTAATAATATGAAGCTGTAGTAGTTCTATGTGCATAACAGACATTTATAGGAACATGGGGCTTACACTGCTATGACCTATCAGCACCATACTGATTGTGTTAGCAAAAAAAAGGCAACAGAGGAGTCATGAAGAAAGCTGCTCAAGAGCAGGATAAGAAAATGACAACTGTGCCAGCATTCAAGCAGGAAATTATAACTTGGGACTATGGTCACCATTCAACACCTCTCTTCTGTGAACAGGGCTTTCTGGAGATACTTGAAGAAATTGATTGCAGAAGTTCTGATACAGGATCACAGCAAAGATCAGAAGGAAGCAGCAACTCCCCAGATGAAAAAGACAGTGAAAGGAGGATTCATCTTGAACTTTGCTAACCAAAAACCAGGCATCTAGTGTGGCTGCATCCTCAACAGAGAGACAGTTACCTCTGGAGGATGAATACCACCACCTCTTTCAGATGCCTATCTCGGATGAGATGAGTTGCTTCCCTCTTTCTCCACTTACTCTATGGGCAGCACCTCAAACCACACACTCAACTAAAAGTGAGATGAATCCTAACCAAGAGGAGTACGGAAGGAGAACAAAAGTGAGGTTCGTGGCTGTGAACAATCACACCAGTCGATGTTGCTTTTCACAGTTTTGTTCCTTCACACGGCCATGACTTTAGACAGATAAACTCTAATCAGAGAAGCTGCAGTAAGCAGTACATCCTGGCCTACTTTTCAAGAATATACATACCATTTCCTCAGTGAGAAACCAAGGAAACTTCCCTCCTCTAGCTTAGAAGGCTTTTCGGGTCAAAGCATTCACATGCAGAGTAATAAATGCTCTCAATTTGCAGATACTAATGTGTCAATTAAAGCAAAGTCACAGGAGGCACAAAAGCACCCATAAGAGCAGCTTTTGCTATCCCTGCAAGCCAAGAGAAGTCTTAATTTAAACCGCTTGTCTGAAAACTGTCAGCAGTAAAGAGTGACATCTGTAACATCAGCCACTATGGAAGCAAAAATAAAGAAAAAGAAACTAACTACAGACTCAGTAAATGTATGTCAATAAAACTTTGGGCTGAAGTATTTGCCAGGAAGCACTGATAGACCAGTACAGCTCACCTTATAGTTTTCCAGCATAGCATTGCCTCTAATAGCCACAGTTTGAGGTATGTGAGGTTTTCTGGCAAACCACCAAAAAACACAGGGATATGATACATGAATGAGTGTAAAAACTTTAAAAAACCCCATCTGCAAGTTGGTAACCTGCTTTCAGTCTCATGGTTTTTAATAGCTGAAACCTGTTTAACTGCTTTCTGATGCAGAGGTCAAGATCAGAACAGGCTCAGTTGAGAGCAATCTCTGCAGGTTACACACCAATAGTACAGTTCAATGCCTTTGCGCATTGTAATTAATCCCGTCCTGCTTCCAATATTTAAGCTTATTATTAGAAGAATTAATAGACACAAATAAACCAATATATGAATATAGGTGGGTTTTCACTGTTTCACCATGTTTTGCAATGGTAATAGTCACGGTGATGGGATGTTTCTTGACTTATGCAAACAATAAATATGGAGGAGTCTGCCAGTTTTGACTTCAATAAAGAAATGAATTTTTCACTCTTTCTCCTACAGAGACTGTTTCAGCATCACAACAGAAGCATACAGCATCCCTTCTGCTTTGTGTCCTGGGGCTGTTGTGTCCAGCTCAAGCAAAAATCCCGTCTGCAGTTTCTTCAGCTGTCCTTTCCTGCACTGGGGCACCTCTCCTCTATCTGGCCACTTCTTTTCATAAGAATGGTAGTAATTAGGTGTCTTTGAGATGTCTGCTCTTCTCTCAGGTACAGTTAAATTGACCGAGTTTAGCAAAAGTTTATGGCACACAGACAGACAGAGATGAATATCCAGTATTTAGGTTTTTCTCCTCATGGAGATGTGCTTGAGAAATACAAAGTGAATTAAAGCAATTTCTCAATTTGAAAAAAAAACCCAAACAAGCAGTCTGATTCAGAGCTTCAGAAAGCCAGGGTATCTGAAACAAACCTTCACAGAAGCCTCCTTCTCTCTACTGAGCCATTGAAATGTTTGGACTTTTTGTTTCCTTAAATAGAAAAATAAAATATGAAAGCACCATGTTGTGGTGCTTTCTTCTACAGGTCATTCAAAATCGCTTAGAATAGATGTGATTTTGAGGGGAATTTTGTGCCCAGCACATGTTTTTTTTCCCTTAAATAATAAACCAAGAATGAGGGGGTTTTTAAAGGTCACCATCTCCAGCAGTTCCATTTTACCTCTCATCTGATCTACATCATCTTTGCAGTACTGTTATTCCTTCTTCACCTCTACAGGAGGTACTTGTTTTGAGCTGGGAGAGTATTTGTCACTCCCCATCATAATCCTGGTAGCATTCATCTCAGGCAACCTCTTGCTAATAGGCTTAAACCACAGAAAAGGGGGTTTAGGTGGGGAAAAAAAAGCAAATGAGGAAACTTGTCTTGTGACAAGGATAGAAAAAAAATAGGCTACGGTGTCAGGTGAGGCTTCAGAAATTCCCTCACTGGAAGCTTTAAGACAATTGAGATAAACAGCTGCCAGAAACTGTTTAGATATGCTGACTGTGCTTGGGGGCAGGGGATCACCTGGAGATTTCTCAAAACTTCCTTCTGTCCTTTCTAGTACGACCAGAAATGACAAGGTAAAACAACAGCAAAGCCTCACCCAAAGACAGAGGTTAATGGTCCCTCGCACTACATTTATCCCCACATAATAATGACAGATATGCGAGTGCTCTGTCACCAGGCACCAGAGGGAGAAGAGGAGATAACAGGCAAGTCAGTTCACTTTCTGACTAGGGTAAAATTTCCAGTGGAAGCAAACACTACCTTTTGCGCCATCGAATTGGATTAGATCTTCATGGCTCCGGTGTGTCACGTCAGCTTAACACCGCCTTAATCTTACCTATCACTCTGCCTATGTACACAGTATGAAACTTTCATAACAATTACCACCACAACACCAATTCTTAACATACAGGAATAAGTCATACACTCCTGGATTCCTGACCTGAAGTGTAGCATACGATCAAAAACTATTACAAATGAAACTCTGCTACAGACTGTACCGCAAAGAATAAAGATAAAGCCTCCGTCTGACATGTCACTGTTTTCCTCAGCATAGTCCAACTCACCATTAAAAACTTTTAAAAAGAATTCTTTCTTTCACTGCTCATCCTACCTGCGCTGTACAGACCTGTGCTCACCACAGGAGCAATTTGCTGTCAACTCTGCTCTCCCTCGAGGCTGTAATTATTTCAGCATAACTCCACACCCCCCTCACCCCCCTGCCCTGCAATGCTCCTTCTTTGTTTAATTACTTTGTGAAGCCCCGGCTTATCACACAGATTTTCAATTAAATTAAAAGCAATAAAAACTTATTTCCAATTGTTCATTTATTGTGCTTGAATCACAGGCGCTTAACAAAGTGCTTTGATGGAGTCCTCACTTAACATTCCTTCTGTCTCAGTGACCTTGAAGTTACTGAACATCTGTTTCGCTCTTATCTCGCACTGAAATATTTCAGACAGATGTAGCTATAAAAAGTCATTGACCTCAAAATTCAAGCCCTTAATTCAATTATTCCTATGAAACCTATAGTTTGTGCATAATTAAGTTAGAAAAAAATGCGGTCACATACCGATTTTTTTAACTCCTGGCAGAAGGGAACTCTTATCAAGAGAGCTCCTACAAAAAGCCACAGTAACCTGGAGACTAGAAATTTCAATGCCAGTTGAACTCCCCACCTCAAAGAAAGAAAAAGCCATCTGAACCTATTATCGTGCAAAACTGAAGGGGTCTCCTGTGTGCCTTTGATCATTTTTCACGTCTTAATTCCTTTTTCCGGTCCTTTTGTTTCTGATGTGCACGCTGACCAAATTGAAAGGAACAATCTGTTACTAATTACTCAGGTTTACTCCGCACTCTTCTCCCAGCACTGCTGAATGCGAATGTGTGCAAAGAGCATCATCGCCAGCGACCAGCTAGGATGGGAGACAAGCCTCTCGCTCTGCAGGCACATGGCTCCAGAGTCACGTTCCCACCATGATTTGTGCCTTCCCATTTCATGCACTCTCCCACATCGGCCCAGGTACACTGTAAAGTTCTTGGTCTCGGGCGAGCCTCCCTTCTACTGGTGATTACTGGTTCTCTGGAACACTAAACAATCACTTTTACACTAACTGAAATGACAGCAAGATCAAGACAAGCTGCTGGATGAGGCTTTGAGCAACCTGGTCTACTGAAAAGTATCCCTGCCTAGGGCAGGGGAGGTTGGAACTAGATGATCTTGAACATCCCTTCCAACCCCAAACCATTCTGTGATTCTACACTACAAGACGTGTTTTCATCAAGCTGTACGCTGTGCTCCCAAAATCATCAGCTGAGTTCCCGCTTCCTGAAACACAAGTGCCTCACTGAGTTGCATCGCTATGAAGGACAGAGCGGGACTAGGGAAGATGATCTCATGTTGCCTGTGCTCCAGTCAAGAGAATTACATTTCTTCACAGCATCATACTTGGCACTCAATTGCCTCCTAAAACAGGAGCAGAGCAAGACACTTGAAACAGGTAATCACTCTTTCAATTCTCTGGCACAGGCTCACCGTCACTTAGGGACCAAAATTGCTTCCACAAAAGTAATGAGAACCCTGCCATTAATTCAAGTGGCAACAGAATCAGCCTTGGCAATAGGTTTTCCCTGCCATTAATAAATCTGCTGTTCTTTTTACTACTGTGTGTGTAGTACACACATACCCAGGCAAGAAGTCATGCTGATGCCCTTGGCATTAGATATAGTCATTTTGCAGTGATTCACATCAAATGATTACCTGTTCAGTGTGTGATTACTTTTTTTCCCCCCCATTTACACCATCTTTATCCTTCCCTGAAACGTATAATTGGATACTTACTGATGCCAGCAGCTGTAGTAAGTTTAATCGCAAGTTCTGGGATTTCACACTGCATAAAGAAAGGTTCCAAAAAGTAGCGTCCAAATGCCAATGATATCACTGCTGTGGCAGCAGGGCTAGAAGGAAGGAAAAAGAAAACAAAACACACCAACAAAAATCATTAAATTAATCCGCACTAGTACATCAATAATATTTTCACGGGATCATGCTGTAACTTTACTGTGACAGAACTGTGGGCCATACTTGTAATTATGCTTCCGTGTACCACGATTTCTGAATGCAACAGGAAACCACAGGTCTATGTTTGCTCAGTGGTTCCAATCTTGACAGCAACACTTCTTACCACGCTCTTAAAAATTCCACGTTGTGACGCAGTCATAAACAGAAGGGAAAGGTTTCAGTAGAAATCTTCACTCACGCACTTGAAGTGAACACGGCCAGAATTAGATTGTGTGGGCAAAACCCTGAGTAAAAGTCACCGAGGACTGAATTTTAGGCAGGTCATCTCGTCCATCAGAGACACAACCAAATTCACTTCAATCAATTTGAGAATTCTGCTTTACCAAGCATCCAAAACCTACTAAAATCTCAGGGAATGGGAAATAAATAAATAAATATAGGTTTTCCTAAAAGCCAGACAGAGTTTGTTCCTTTTATTGACTCTCAATTCCCTAGCACTGCAAGTGAGAGTAAAAATCCTCAAAGTACAGCTGTTGCATGTACAAATTTGAAATAATATTCATACAGTCTTTTCCTTTGGGACAGGCTAAGTGTTTGTCAGAAGTCTTAGCATTGACACACACCAATATAGCCAGCAAACTGCCCTGTGCCTCAGATCAGATACTGTGTGCATATTACAGTTCCAGTGGTTTGGGAAGACACTTCCACCCGTATCAGGACAGCTGGTGGCACCTGTGTTTCACCCCACACCATAAGGACAATAGGCACAGGATTCTGCCTCAAAGGATTTATAAGTTGAACAGGACTCCATGCTCATTTCTTGTAAAAAAATAAAATCAAATCTACAGGATTTAACAAAGGAATGTCTCACCTTACAGAATTTTAATAAAAATTCAGTTGTTAAAAATGCTACAGAACAGAGTAAAAATTCTGTGGAGAAGTTATTATTCTCCATCAAAAGATAAAGGAATTTTCGACATGAGAGTTTTGCCCTTGAAACAAAACCCACTTTCTTAGCATTATGACTCAACCAAAATGTCACATATTGTGTTAGAGTCAACTGACTGCAGAGCAGCAAACAACAGAAGTATCTTTCTCAGAAAACTTCTGCATGGACAAGGGAAAGCTGCTGCTTGTCCATCTCCCATGCACAAGGACTGTTCCTCTCACTGGCTTTGCAACTTCTGTCTTCATTTAGGGAGCAAATATCCTTTGTGCTGGATTTACACACATTTATGGACTTAACTTTGGTGAGATATTTCTAATTTACATAAGAAGATCACCAGGCTTATGGCTTTTCAACACTGAAGCCTGCCAAAAGCATGTTGAAGTGCCCTAGGTCAGATGAAAGATCGGATCTTTGGAGTCTTCCCAGACTTCTCTTCCTCATCTCGGGTCATTTTTCCATAACTTGGATTTTTCCCTCTCATTTTAAGAGAGGCCTTTAAAAAGAAGCAGTCACTGTTATCCACACCATTATGTTTTTAAAAGCATTACATATTAGTTTAAAAAATAGCAGTGTGTCTCCTATTCACATGTTTGGGGGGAAATCTTCCTGGCAGCGTAGCAAGTCAATGGAGATGGAAGTTGCAAGAACCAGGAATCGACTGCAGTCATTTCCTTGAGACTGCAATGCTGAGGACAGGCGGGCAGCTGGGTGGTCAGGATGGGACAGAAAGCACATTTGGCGGCTTTCACTGAAGGGCAAGGACCAGAAACAGCCACCGGGAAAGGAGCAGTTACCTGTGCCCTAGAACATACCACAGGTGAGTCACTTACTTGGCAGTGCACCCTCACCCAACCTGTGTTTAGCAATCATCACAGTTAAGGACCACCGAAAATGCATCATCGTCATTTGTTTAGGAGCTAGCCTTTTTTTTTCTTGGACAAAAAAAATAAATAAAATGCATATAATATACCCACAACCAAGTTCCTGCTTCTACAGGACAAGGAAGAGCACAGTGTAAGACAAACGTAAGCAGCAGGTGATGCTTGCACAATTCAGTCAGTACACGGGCACAGTTTGCGTGTCTCCTAGACCGTAAAATAGTGGCTGAAAAGATATATGAGAGCAAGAAATATTTATTTGGTGGAGGCTGCCCCCCCAGCCTGTGGGTGTGATAACGCTGGGATTTTTTAGCAGGAAAGCTAAGACATGTGTGTGCAACTTCATCTGCTGAAAAACCCCCGAGATCCACACCAGGTCTCAACTTCTTTGATAGCAGCAGCCAATTAGTTTACCGATGCCAGAGTCAGATATAAAACCCTACAGAGAGTTTTGGCAACGCTGCTCTGATCATGGCAGGTTATAACAAGTTTACCTCCCTCACTACCTCTCAGATTTGACGACTAAAGAATCCACTGATGTTCCTTCCCATGCAAGATGATTATTTTCTGGGTGTGGGG